CATAAAAAAATATCTTTGTAATATTATTTGGGACTTATCATTTTGTGTTTCATTTTAACCTTAAAAATAAAATTTATAATAGATTAATTTAGTTTTACTTTTTTTTTTTTAGTCATATTATTATTTATATACATATACATATAAATTAAATATTTTTTAAAATTTTTTATAATAAATATGACAAATTCAATTATTGTTATTAAACAAAACTTAAAATTAATTGTAAATTTAAATTACAGTTTGTTGGACTATTTTTATTTATTTTGGATAATTTGGCTAATTATACGATAGAGTCCAACTAAAATGTTAGTCGGTTAAAAAAAAAATTATAATATTTCAAAAAAAATTTTTCTAAGAAATTCAATCATGGTAATTATGGAGTTACAATATTTTTTTGGAAATATTTATTGTTAATTTTTTAGCCGTAATGGGAAGTTGAATATGTATTAAATTTACTATGGTGCGTTTTTTATTGTGTCTGTTACAATGTTGTTCAAAAAAATGTCTATAAAAAAAGTATAAAACGTTTGAAATGTCCCATAAGAGTAATATTAAACTAAAATTTTTGTTGTTTTAATACACGCAGTATTCAAACCGTAATAACTCTGACTGTTACCACAAATACTCGACTCTTATTAATCAATATTAATTATTTTATAAACAATCTAATTAATTAATTAGAAAAAAAGTCAAATTTGTTATCTTACCCCAGGGGTGGGGCAAGATGATTTTTTGAATGGTTGACATATTTACTATATAGCTTATTTCAAGTTATGTTTAAAAAATGTATTATATAATGTATATATTTATCAATTAAGGTATCTTCCTAAATAATTATTCAAGTTTATTTTTTCAGTAAACTGGTTCATCTGATTACGGTAACTTCGCCAGCAAATGAGCACTTAAGAGTATTAATCTATTAAAAAGTTATTAATTTATATTTCTGTGGAAATAATCAACTAAATTTGTTCTCTGGAAATTCTCCATAATATTATTGTAAAAATATTCATTTTAATACGTGGTGTCACCTTATAAAAAAATTATTTTATAAGTAGAAATTTTATATACAAAAAACAAAAATGCCAACATTCCCCATTTAATTTTTATTTGAAAATCTCCCATAGTACTTCTCTAATTTGAATAACATTTAAAATTTTAAATAGTTTTTATTCGTGATGTTTTTCTTTAGGTAATGCAATAAAAATACATTTTAATAATTAAATACATTAATTTATTCACGCTTAAGTAAAAATATTACGTCGTATAGGAATATTATGTGGTACTTTCAAAAGAGGTACAAGTAGAATTAAAAAAAACATGTGTTATTTTAAATTATTTTGTCATTGTTTGGTTAAGAATATATTTCTTAAATATTTTCATAAAAATGGTCGATTCAAAATGTTTTATTTCAATCATAAATATGTATACAAGTGTCTCGTCAGGTTTTGACATCTTTAATAACTAAAATTAGATTGCATGATTACTACAGTAATAATATTTTCAACATTAATACCCTGATGAGTATTTGTTTTCTTGCATATTGTTCGGTTTAAATCAAAGAATATTAGTGATTATGCGGTCATTTTAGGCACTTGGAGAGTTTTGAAAAAATTTAGAGAGTAAATGTATGTTAGGAATATTGGAGCTTTAATGGACTGTTGTATTATTTAGATTATTTACAGATATATCCATGTCTTTGGTTTTGTGCTGATTTTTCGAACCCGTTGCAGAGTTCATCTTTGCAGTGATAGTTACGAGTCGGAGATTTTAACTATATTGATATATCAGTATAGTTAACATCAAACGAATCGTCAGTATAAAATTGAAGATGTGGGTACACCTGTTTTCTATTCTTTATTGATATAAATATAATACTTAATTAATTATTATTGTATGGCGATGAAACAATTTGTCCCTATTATTTATTTTGAATATAATATGTATATAATATTTTTTATTATAAAACAAATTAATAATTCTAAAGATTTTAAACCGACAAATTTTTTATTAAAACCAATCATTAGATTGAATACTGCAGAAGAAGAAGAATTACACAATATAATTTATATAGAACTATAATTAATCAAAAATAATCGTGAAATAAAACATTATTTTTAGTTTTACATTACTTTAAATTTTGATTTATTTAAACATATATTTGTGTTAATATACCAAAATAAAGCTATAATTTAAAGTGTAGTCGAACATTGTTTATGCAGTTGGCAAAATTGTTTGCGTAATTGATAAAAATGTTTGGGGCATATGAAAATTACTAAAATTAAAAGTAGAAACAAGCATTAACATATTTCTTGAAAATATTAGTATTTTAATTAACTTTTTTCTATTATGATAATATCACAATAATGTGTTCAAATTCTGAACACACGAAAAAAACAATGTAATTATTTATAGATGGAAAATCAGTATTATAGTCATAAATTTTTTTCGAGCGGTGGGTGGAGGGAGATAAATAATTAGTAAATAATTCGGTTAATGCATGAATTTAAAGGGAATGGGGAAGCTGCAGCCCCATTACATACACCACTGTGATAAATGATTCTTAAATTATTTTTTCAATTGCTTTTTCTAAATTTTTAATTTTGTTTAATATTAACAATATGGATTGTTAAAGCCCACTTTTATTTATAGTTTATCCTTCAAGTAATTTAATATATTTGTAAAAACAAAATTTAATGTATCTATAAATAATATTTTGATAAATCATTTGTACTATGTTTGTTAAATTTTTAATATAATTTAATGTAAATAATACAAAAATTAATATTGCTAAAATATTTAAATTACTCTTAAGTTAATTGGGTAGACTAATGAATTAAATAATATATAATTCATAAAATGCCTAAAAACAATTAATGTAGAGTAAAATAACTGGGTAATTAAAATCGGGGGATGTGGTTGCAAAGTTCCCACATTATTTGTTTTAAAATTTTAATCATATGATTGAGAAAAATCCTTAAATTATATCTTGACCAATATCAAAAAGTTATAACAATATTAGATTAAATAACACAAAATAAGTTATAATTTTTAATATAAAAAAATATAATTAAAATAAACTACTATTAAAATGAATTTAAATATATTGATAGTTTTTAAAAATAATTATTAATTTAGCATCAAATTTTGAAAGTTTAAAACTAATGACCATAATGTGGTCAATATTTTTTATATGTATAATTATATATAATTGTCTTTTGTTTTATAAAACAGATAATTAAAATTTTAATAATAACTTGTAATAATTAAAATAAATTTATATTAATAATACAACTTTCAAATTAAATGTGTTATTCTGTAAAGAATAACAAAAATAAAAACAGGTAAATAGAAAAAGTTAAAAGATTAATGATAGAATTTGCATATTAAACTTTGGCCAAATCTAAAACGGAATTAGTCTGCAACATTTGTCAAACATATAAATTTGTAATATGAATCATTTTTAACAGTCGTTTGTGTATGACGTTTTAAACAAATACATATGTCATACATACGTGGCAGTAAATAGAACACATAATAACTTTTTTTATTTGTAAAAATAACCAAAATGTTTGAAATCAATTGTAGTTGATAAAAGACAATCAATATTTTTATTGAATATTTCATTCTCAATGTTAAAGTTCGGAATTAAAATTCCACTCAATTTTCCACTTTCTGAGAGAATATTATTTATAATTATACAGGATGTTCAGTAAGTCAGGAAACGGGTTTCTATTGTTCTCATTGTTTGTAACAATGAGAACAATAGAAACCCGTTTCCTGACTTACTGAACACCCTGTATACGGAATGATTGACATGGGGTTCAGGAAAATGCTCGATTAAACAAAAAATGTCTTTATTAATGTCATCTGATGTTGTTTTTGTTTTTTATGAGACTACGAATTTAAAGATTTGTTTTTAATTGGTGGTTCACTTATAGTTTTGAATTTTATTTTAAACTAACAAAATTTAATTTTAATACAATTGAGCAAATTTACATGTTTGATGCTGTATACTTATATCAAATTGCTCTAAGGGATGATGTGTCAATTTTACATTTTTATAGTCTATACATTTTTGATTAACAGATCAAGTATTGTATTTGATTCAGACAAACTTTTTACAGGTCATTTTCTATAAAAGTCCATAAAGAACAGTTTAGAATTGACGTTTAAGTTTATATTTAATCAGATCAAATACAACATCCAATCATAAAAAAAAAAAAATTATAATACATAAAAACCAAATTTTTATTTTGACATTTATATTTTAAAAAATTAAGAAAAATTAGTTTTAATATTAATATACCAATTCAAATAGATGATATTTCAATATGCAATATTATATTTATGAAAAGTTTAACCAACTATTTATTTTTTTCATATTACTTTACGATGATAATATCATAATAATCTTCAAGATTATTTTCAAATTTGTTATACGAAAAATAATTTAAATCAAATTTCTTAGTGCTTAAAAGTGCTATTTCAGAAAAAAATATTATTCTTGAACTAAATTAATATTTATGTTAAAACATAATTACAGTTATAAATCATTAAAAAAAATTTATTTTTGTGTTCTATTATAAATTTTTTTAACGCTAATGTAAACAAAGTTAACATCACATAAAGTTTTTCTATTGAATAATATTTAAGTTGCTTATATAATTTTTTTTGTGAAAAAGTTGTCTTTTTGAATATCCCCTTGTGGGCAGGTAAACGTCAAATTAAAAAAAAAATTACCAAATGATAGGTCGTACTTAATATAGCTATTAAGAAAAAAATTCTATTGACCCATACATTTTTTAAAAAGTTATGGCAGTTTTAAGTAAAAAAAATTGAAAAAATGTCAAAAATTAGTAATTTTTTTGGAGAACGAGGGAAATTTTTTCATTTTTTTAGGGTAATGTCTTTGACTAGATACGATTTGTGATCTTTTGACGAATCGGTACGGTGAGAGCTAGGAAAAAATGGTAACAGACACAAAAAAAAAACACATCATATTAAAATTAATAAATTATAAATACCAAATAATAAGGTAACAGCTTTATTTTATTTAAATAATTTTTATAAAATTATTCTTAAATATCAATGATAAAAATTAACACATAAATAAACAGTCAAAACTGATTTAGAGAACTTGAATATTAGCAGTAGCTTAAAAAATCGGGGACATTCTGCAAAAAATAAAAATAATAATAATACATATTTTGAAAATTGTGAAATATACAAGTATAATATATCGAGTCATTTTTTTCAAAGTTCAATAAAACGGTTACATTTTATACAAGCTTATTTTTTTAACATTAGCCACACGATCTCTCTTAAAACAATATTTATATTAAAATAAATAAATGTATATATATATAAAAAATATATATAAAACTAAAAAATAACACACATAGTTTTCTTAAGAATAATTTAAAGAAATCAAATGTCTATCGTTAAAACTTAATATTTATACACTCTGTATAAATACAATTTTTTTGCTGTTATTATTCATCTCACTTGTAACATTAAAATGTTTTGTTAAGGTATTAAAAATAATACACGAATAAGTTCATAGATATATTTTAGAGTGGCATTGGGTGCTCTTGCACTGTAAAAAAAAACTTATTGCAAGTGTTAAATGTAAAATTCATACATTACAAACATTTTATTTTTTTATCACTACAAAAAATGTCTGGTATTTTCCAAAAAGGGTATTATTAAAAAATTTAATTTAGCTAACCATAAGAAAAGAACTTATTTCATGCGTTTTAAACCAAACTCAACCGTTGTTTTCATACACCATTTAATGACTTAATTGTAACTAAATTACATTCATTACTAAAAACATACTGTTCATTACATGGACAGTAAAATCAGAAACTAGTTAAGAGTATTTACGCATTTCTAAAAAAATAATTTACTTCATATTCCTCGGTCTCTTCCTTTTGATTACACTTAAATTCGGAGTGATTTATTTTAAGATTTTGCGACTCAATTGGATTGCTCTGTAATTCAATGTTAGACTAATATAAAATCATAAGTATATTTACCGAAAAATTAATTATAACTTAAATAAGAACATTAATATACATTAGCATATAATCCCTAAAATTAATATTTACAATAAAAAATAACTTTGTTAAAATTCGTGTCTATGTAAAGTGTTACAGAACGTTCAATGTAATTTTAAGAAAATTAAAGAAAACTTTGAGGTTTTCTCGTAAGTTTACATAATTTACACAATAAAAAAATGTTATTATTTTTAATAACATTTAATGTGTAGTTTTTAGAAATAATGTAATAAGTTTTAAGGGTATACGAGAATTGATCCCAAAATGGTAGGGAACTGTTCAAGAACTGCGAACTCGCAATAATAGCTCAGTGGTCGAAAATCTTTAAAAGAAAGGGCAAAAAACATGCTCTTTAAATTGTAGCTAAAAATATTGTTAAGTACATTAACATATATGTTTTAAAGATGCTGATCAAAATTTGATATAAATTTTTATATTTGAGCCCTTTTAAAAGGGGTTAGAGGTTCATTTTCTTTAATAAATTAATTGACGCTGAAACTAAATGTAATAGTAGTTTTTAGATTAAAAACATGTTAAGGTTGGTAAAGCTATAATTAATTCCTAGTGGATATAAATTATTTAATTTTATAAGACTCAACAATTTTTTTACCTAATTACAATAATCGTTATTAGAGTTTGGATTATATGCATTTAAATAATATTGTGAAATTATTTGTAAAACTCCATTGGCGAGTATAATCTTTTAATTGACTTGATAACTTAGTAAACATAGTGTTGTTACCGAGATTAGTTTGAAAATTAAAATTTTCTAAAATAAAAAATTATGAATTTTGGACACTTATATTTTATAAGCGTCGTCAATTGCCCTCTATAAACTACTAAATTAATTAATCGAAATATACAAATATTGTTGACAATTTTTTTTTTGTAATTCTGTTTTTCAAAATTAATTGCTAATGAAATATTTTTTTTATTCATCTCTTATACCTTATAATAGTGCTAACTTTAGCAACATATAACTAACTTAAATAATAGAAAATTCTTTAATTAAGAAATCGAGCCAATAACGACTTTTGATTCGGTAGTTCAGTAATTATTAAAAATTTGTTTCCTTAGCCAGAGGAGGTATTGGCAGGGGAATGTCTAATGATAAAAATAGCAGCATCCACGATTCATCCCCATTTAGTACTCTAAATTATTAATTAATTATGAAATACTGATCCAAAAGTTGTTATCAACCAGTCATTTTCTTAGTTAAATCATTGTCTACTAAAAAACGAATTGATTATGCATGTTTTCATTTAAAAAACAAAGTAAACACCCTTATATGGTATAATGGATACACATAAAAAACACTACAATGATTGATAAGTTAAGAAAAACATGGAACTAAAAGAAGCCAATAAAAAAAAAATTACAAAAATTTTTATTTTTTGATTAACTAATTTGTTCATGATAAAAGAATCACTTTGTATATATAATTTATAGGGTCTTAAAAACTATGCATTTGCAATTCATTTTTGTTTAAATACTTAAATAAGAATTTTGCCATAATCAGTAATGATGTCCTTTTAGCAAATGTTTTGTATTAGATTTTATTACGTAGTATACCACTGTAGAAAAATATCATAAAAATAATGATGACGCAAACTATCCGTGAATTCGAAAATACCTGAAAGTTTCCAAAACCGTAATTTTGATCTTTTTTTATTAGATCCATCATTTCATTGAAACGTTTATATTCTTCGGGTGATATATCAATGATTTCCTAAACAAACATAATTAAACATATATTTCAACTATAATATTAGATGTTATTAATATACAGAGCAATTCATTAAGGATGGATATCTTTTCATGATTACTGTGTATACATATGATGATAATGTGTACAATTAGATCATCTTACATCTTAGATTTTTTTTTTACATTTTATTTAAAATTTAAAAATAATTAATATTTTTAATAAAATGTAAAAAAATTAATTGTTGAGATATAGCTATAGACCTAACGTATAACTATTATTAAAAAAAAAAATCACCTAAAAATATTAACTGGATCAAAAGTTATTTAAGTTGTCAGTGAGTGGTGGGCTACTGTGTATAGTATCATACGATTCAACATTTTTTAACAGTTTAGTTATTGTAATATTTTTTATTTAGTTAATCGTTATTCAATAAATATTTGTTAAAATATAATAATTTTTGAACAATTTTCCTAAATTTGCTGTCTATAATACAGCATTTGTCATTTATTTGTGATTTAACAAAATATGTTTTTAATGGCAACTATTGTTATTTTATCTGTCATTTACGATAGCAAGAATAAATACTGTTAATAATTAATGGCCAATTAAAATAGATTATTCTTGCCTCGGTATTATAAAAAGAAATGAGTTAATTTCTAATTTAAAACCAAATCTTAAAACAATTTTAAACACAAATGGTTTATTGAAAAAAAATTAAATGAATAAAAAAAAAAAAAAAAATTAACATATAATCAAACGAAAAATTATAGTTGCCATTTAAAAGTATTAATATTTAGGGTTTATATCCCTTAATAAAAAAAACTGATTTAAATACATATAACTGTAGAGTGTTTTGTATCAAACAATATTATCTTTTACGAAAATTGATAAGATTCAATAGTTTCTGATAAATTAAGTGTTTTATTCTTTATCGATGACCTAATTAATATTGCATAATAATTGAAAATATACATATTACTATTATATAATATGTATAATATGTATTTTATTTATTTTTTTAAATGTTTACAAGAAAAATAAATAAATTTCGTCCCGTTTATACATAATACCAATTGATGTATATATTTAAGTATATAGTAAATAATAATATAAATCGATGTATAAATAAACAATATTTATGGTGGGAGGGGCAAGATGGCATCTTTAGCTTTAATTAAATCTCTTAAAGGAAATATTCACTATAAAATCTGTAAACTAGTAGAAATACTACTTGATATAATGAGATTAATTGGTAAAAATCTCATTGAATTATAGTGATTATTATAAGAATTATTAATCAATTAGAAAAAGAGTCAACTTTCCCGTCTTACACGACGCCTGTGGTATAGTTGGCATACCTTAGCCTAATTTAAGTGTGCTTAAAAATGTATTTTATAAAGAATGTCTCCCATCATGTTCTGACATTTTCAATAACTTATTAACTAGCGAATATTTTGCGTTACGAAAAGGTTAAAAAATGGCTAATTTGAAATATTAAAAAAGTAAAAAAAAATGTATTGTATTCTTCTTATTAAAGAAATATAATAAAAAATATGTTTTTAACGTAGTTTAACATTAAAAAAATTAATTCATAAATAGAAATTTCATTTAAAAAATGAGGAAAAGAATAACACATTTCCCATTTCATTTTTACTAAAAAATCCTCCTAGTACTCCCCCAATTTCAAAAGGACTTTAAATTTCAAATAATTTTTATTCGTTATGTTTTTTTGATATCCATTGAAATAAAAAAATGTTTACTTATTTATTCATGCTCAAGTTAAAACTTACGTCACTACGTAAAAGAATATTGCAAAAAAAGGTGAAAGTTAGATTTTAAACAATTATATGTTAATTTGAATTATTTTCTAAAAAATTGTCATTTTTTGGGTGATGTTTGGTACATTAAAAAGTATTTCCATAAAAAGTTTGCAAATATTACTACATTTTTTAAAAAGCAAGAAGATCTTCATCTAAGTGTCAACTTATCATGTTCTTCCCTACTATTTTTAGGGTGTTAAGTCATAGCGTACGTTATGGTAATAACACTTGTTTTTGACAAAAATGTCAATATTAAGTTTCATATCAATTCATATGCTGAAATTGATAAATATTTCAATAATAGCAATGGAGTTGATACATTTGACCAAGTTCCCCATAAAATACTTCTTTAAGAATAATATTTGTATTGCGTGATATGCATTTACTTTTTTTTATTTTGGCTCTCCTGTAAATTTTTAAAAGTGGCAAAAGCATATGTTGTTTATGAAGCAATGTAAATTCTAGTTTAAATTAAAAAAAATTTAATTTTGATCTAATATAAGTTTCTAGGATTTTAGGTTGTTTTAGCGTTTATGTAAAAGCATAAAATAAAGGCGTATTATCTTTTTTCAAAGGCTAAAATTTGACTTATTTTACTAACTTTTATTCATTCTTAGGTTTACAATAATTTTGAATTAAAGAAAAATTAATACAAAATTTAAAAAATATTTAGGTAAGGGATTAGTAGATTCTTCTTTGTTTGGTTTTTAAGACTATTCTAAATGGAACATGTGTCAGACATAAATGATAAAAACATGATTTTTATCCATCCCTAATTTTACTCTTTATTCTTTAATAAAACGTCTTAACGTAATTTGTAAGAGCCAAGGAATAATAAATAGATTTAGGAATAAATAATCTAAAATTTATTTAAATAATATGTAGATATTTATATAAAAACTCATCTAGAATTATACAGATGTTTTTAAAAACTATTATCTAGTAAAATAAAAAAAAAATTGCTCTCTAATCTAAATAATATGCATTTAACACTCGTGATCTTACTTTAATCAATAATTAACCCTACTTTAAATAAGACTCAATTTGTTATCAACAATAAAAAACAGTTTTACCATACTGTCAATATTTTTTGATATGGGCTATAGAGTCTGTTAAACATAATATATTTACGTATCAAACTTGATATCATTCACTTATTTGAATGATTACATATTTATTAATGAATACATATTTATTGTGAGCGTCTGTAATTATTTTTATTGTAATACTTCTATAAAATGTGTTTATTTTTTTTACCTCTTCTTCTTTCTCAGTAACCTTTTTAGATTCTAATTTCCAAAAACAAGATGTTAGACTATTGTTATGACTGTCACTGCATAAAATAAAAGTAAAATTACATACTAAGTATATTCCAATTAAAATGTTTAAATGCATTTTTATTATTTCTATTGATTTAATTTTGAATTAATTAAAAATAAATCAAAACCGATGATAACTATTATATGAATTTAAAGCTTAATGGACAACTTTATATATTTTTTTGAATAAATATTATTTAAATGAATAATATTTTTTTCAATTAAGACCAAAAAAAAAACTATTTATTATGTGTCATAAATGTAGATTTTCATCGTAAAATTTATGAAGGTACCTAAAGAATATTACAAAAATATTTTGTAGAGCGATGAATAATTACTACTAGTTCAAATTTGTATTTCTTTAAATACATGATATTTTAAATTTGATGATTAATATTTAAATAATTATGACTGAATTTTGAGAATATAGAATAATAATTAATAGGCTGTTCATACAATTTGGTTATATATTTTACTTAACTACAATAAGTTGTCGTGGTGAATAATTTATTTATTTATTGAAGTACTGAACGAATTAGAGGTAAACAAATTTCAGTAAACTTTGCAGGTGAAGCTGCAATTATAAAAAAATTTATTCGGAAAAACATGCATGTTATCAATTCAACAAATTATTGTACTAATTAGTAATATGGTAGTTAACTATATAGTGTTATCTCTTTATGGTTCAATGCCCGGTTTTATATGCATTTATAAATTTTCTTTGAGTCATTTTAAAAGGACCCAAGTTTTCACAAATTTGTTGTAGAAATATTTTTCTAAGGGGAAATAAACGTACCTTACACCCACTAAAAATTAATTTCAGTTAGAACACATTACTATTTTTTCAAATCAATTAATACTGGTACAATTAAATTTGTACTGGCTGAGTTTGTGTTCGGAGTAACAAAATTTATAATTCCATATAAATAGAGGACCTCGATGATCAATTTGCTATTGTGATTTGTTTCTTCGATATTTCTATTAGGTGCAAAACTATTGTAAAATTGCTTAAATGTACACTATTTAATATTTTATTTTCTATTATTTACTTCATAATACGTTGAAAATTAATTAAAAGTACAACATTAAAAAATAAATGTATGAATCCATAAAGATTTAATATTATAAATTACTAAAAAGTATACAGAAGAAATAAAAATTTAAAAAGCTAAATAAGCAATTAATACCTAAAAGTGTACTAGGAGTACCTTTTATTAATATATCGTACATTTTTAAATACATGTATTTTTTATATATATATAATTGTAGCAGAAAAAAAAAATTTTCTATTATTACTCCGGTCCTTCTAATTCTAAATATATTTGATTAAATTTAATGTTTTTGAAAAATAACCATTCATCCTGAATAATTATAATCATAATTTTTATTGATCATCAGCAAATAATAAACAAATGAATCTTTATTTTAGTTTATGGTTAAAAATGTTTAATTATTAATAGGAGAAGAATATGGTAAAATTTGAATTAAAATTACATTAAAATTATAGCTTCGATGCGAAGTTGAGGATGTATTAATTTAACTATAATGTGTTTTTTTTTTTATATTTTATTCTTTTTTTGTGTTTGTTATCACTATTCTCAGCTCTCACTGGACCAATTTTGATGGACAATACGCAAAAGATTATAAATCATATCTAGTGTAAGACATTACCCTCAAAAATTGAAAAAATTCCCTCGTTCCTTGTTAATGAGGGAAAAAAATTAAAATTTCAAATGGTAATTAACAACATTTTTTTAATTTAAACCGCCATAACTTTTTGGATGATGTATAAATTAAAACACGTGAAAAATGTTATAAAATAAATTAGGTATTTTCTTATTATTTGGCATATTTTTTTGAAAATCTGACCCTTTACCTGCTTACAGGGAAGATTCATAATGACAACTGTTACTCAAAAAGACAACCAAAACTCCCAAGTCCCCAACAAAAAATCAATTTGAAATTTTCATTATACTTATAAATCAAAAAACTACTAATCAGGATATTATTAAGAAAATAGAAGTTGATGTAGCTTTTGGAATAATCCAACAGTTTCATAAAATTAAGCACTTTCTATAGATTTATATCGAAGCGTTGTTTCTTATTGTATTTATTTTAATCACTGTCATTTATTATCTATCATTGTCCCAACTATGTCACGTCTCCATTGTACAACCAATTTTTTTAATTTTATTTATATTATTTTAAGTTGTAGGATTTTGGACTGAAGTTTTCTGTAAAAATTGATTAAACATTTTACAAGTAGTTAGATTATTTTCTGAATCATTTGTGTAAATATTTGTAACTCATAAATTCTTTAAGATTTCAATTTTTTTTTATAAAAATCTACCTCATACATGTGGTAAACTTATTTTAAAATATATAATTATTAAACGTGACTGATAAATTGTTAAAATATTACAAATAAATAACAAATTTTCCGTAAATATATTTTTCATGAATGCCTAACAAAAAAAAAAACCAAATGTTGAAGTTATATACATTATGTAAATACTTAATAAAGTAACTTCAAGTAAATTCAAGTTACAAATTCGTGGTTCTCATCAATGAACCCTATAGAAAATACATGCATTTTGTATACTATCTAAACTCTTAGATTTACTTATTCTTACCGTCAAACATTGAAAAAAAAATGTTGAGGGCTATATACAACAAAAATTTCTTAATAAATATGGGTTTTTTTTTATTGTCGATAACCTTTTTTTTGTTTCACTTATAGTTCAAATGAAATGAAGGAAATACTTTTAAAATATTTTCTACTAAACTGTAAATTTTTAACCTTAAGTTATGCAAAATTTGTGATTATATAGCTAAAAATTAAAATTTAATTTTAAACAACAAAAAGTTTATTAAAAGTTTTATTAAAAGTTAATAAAAAAAATCTATAACTAAAGCTATATGATAGAATAGTTATATTATTAATATAAGTTTATTTAACAAGATACAAAGTAAGATGTATTAGAAAAATAATTATATTTATTTTATATGTAGACTATACATTAAGGATAAGATACTCATTTTCTCAAAATGATTGAAAATTTTCAATTTTTGTAAATGAATATATTGTTTGATTAAAAAAACTCTACAATAATAAGTTGATAAATAGTTTTTTTTTTATCCCTTCAAGGATAAAAATCCTTAACATTAATTTTTTTAAATAAAAATGTCTATTTTTATCTCGATAATATGATAGAACAAAATTTTACAAATAATTTTGTTCTAATTAGATTTTTTATCAGATAACACATTTCGTTTTTTTAAATTGTTTAAAAATTTGAATTCAAAGCAGAAATTCATTGCTAATTTTGTTTTTGTAATACCGGAGGGCACAATAATCTATTTCAATGGGCCGTAAATTATTTTTATGGAAGTTATCAAGAAAACTTTTTCAAGCTGGTCGTTCAACAATGTTTACTAGTAAACTTGTATCTAATATAATAGTATGATATAGTAATAATATACATAAAACAGTAAAATATCAATAGAATATACACATTATAATTAATATGATATAAAATAATCTAACTAAGAAAACTAGTATTATTACTTTACTTATAATGACGAATGGTCTAAATAAAATGTTAACAGGTAACTATTATTAAATAATAATTAGTAATTATTTTGGATAACTAAAATTAAGGGATATTTTTTCAGTTTGTGAAGGTGATATCTTCAACTAGATCAAATTTGTTTTTTTTAAACGTATTGATCAGCAAATTGGTCTAGTAAAAGCTTAAAATGTTAGGCATATACAAAAAGAAACGCACACGTTATTGTAAATGTAATGCAATATTACTTTGCATCAAAGTTAAAAAGGCCAATAAATATATTTATATCAAGATATCGTTTATTTAACGACGTTTAATTAAATTTAAGGGAGTCACAATCATTGTCATCTTATTGGGAAGGGGCCTTAGTGTCCAAACGTTTTTGACAAGTCATATTTATTGTTATATAACTTTTTTAGGCTGAGGAAAATTACATTTAGACCGCGATAAAATTTAAGTTCGCGAGTCATAGTTAGTTAATCACCTTGTATATAAGTTACTATATATTGTAAACCCTTATTATTATTGTTAAATAAATATATAATTGAACAAAAAACAACACTTGTTTTCATTTTAGATTATAAGTTTACTATTATTATAAAAAAATTACTAGGCAATTAAAAATAAAATAGAAAGTCCTAAGGAATTTATGTAACATTTTTTAACACTAGTATTCTTTGACTATGGGCTAAACCATAGTTTAAGTCAATGAGTAATTGTTAAAAAATATAGACCCCTCTTTTTTATTTGCCAAATGATTTAATTAAAATTAAAATTGCATTATAATATGTAATTAGATTTTTAAATATTCATAAAACTCGCATTAATTTGGAGTGTGTCCATTAGACTCTGATTATAGCTAACGGTTAGCAATTTCATTACATGCTAAATTTTATCTTATTGACATGGTAATATATCGCGAAAGAGTAATTAAACATAACATAACATTGAAATCTGCTACTTTTCACATTAATTACAATTTAACTTGTAATTTCTCATAAATTATGCATTACTCATAATATATGTCACTTGAAGCCACCGTTCTACCACCACATATAGATTTACTCATAACCCTCATACCTGTAATACCTAGCTAACAAGTTAAGAGAGAAGGGACCCCTACAATTGGGTATACTTTTAACCTCTTACTACGCTATGCTTATCTATGAAAAGGGGACTTTTACCGTGTATACCATCCGTCTACTTAAGGCTGGGTAAGTTTCTTCGGTAAGAGTGGCGGTGGCCCAGCTTATATAATTAGTATCTACTAGTTACATACTGATGATTTTTTTTAAATAGATATAATTTCAAATTATTATAATAAAATCGTTTATCAATAAAAATTTATAATTGTTATAATTTTTTTTTAAATTAAATATGAATGGAATATATATAATTGTATGTTTATTATAACCTTCTCTATTACTCGCAAGATTAATACAAAATTGTTTTATTTTTTAGTTACTTATATATTTTGATTTATTATCAATTAATTACTTTTTAATATCATTCCTTATAACTTATGTGCATTATAACTTTATTTTTAAAATGTCGACATATATTTTCTACTAGTTTATAAAATATT